AAAAAATTGAAAATCGATTCAAAATGGCCGATTTTTTTATTATTAATTAGGTTATCTTGGTTGTTTTTTAAGATAATTATATCGTGTTTGGGTTCATTTTAAAGCATTTTTAATCCTCTTTAAGATGATTTAGGTTAAAAATCATTTTTATTATTACCATCTTAAAGATAATTAAAAATCGATTAAAATGAGCCCAAACTCGGCTAATTTATCTCAAAAAATAACGAAGATATCGCGATTTAATTAAAAAAAAAATTGAAAATCGATTCAAAATGGCCGATTGTTTTATTTTTAATCAAGTTATCTCGGTTGTTTTTTAAGATAATTATATCGTGTTTGGGCTCATTTTAAAGCATTTTTAATCCTCTTTAAGATGATTTAGGTTAAAAATCATTTTTATTATTACCACCTTAAAGATAATTAAAAATCGATTAAAATGAGCCCAAATTCGGCTAATTTATCTCAATAAATAACGAAGATATCGCGATTTTATTAAAAAAAAAATTGAAAATCGATTCAAAATGGCCGATTTTTTTTATTATTAATCAGGTTATCTTTGTTGTTTTTTAAGATAATTATATCGTGTTTGGGTTCATTTTAAAGCATTTTTAATCCTCTTTAAGATGATTTAATCATTTTTATTATTACCATCTTAAAGATAATTAAAAATCGTTAAAATGAGCCCAAACTCGGCTAATTTATCTCAAAAAATAACGAAGATATCGCGATTTTATTAAAAAAAAAATTGAAAATCGATTCAAAATGGCCGATTTTTTTATTATTAATCAGGTTATCTTGGTTGTTTTTTAAGATAATTATATCGTGTTTGGGTTCATTTTAAAGCATTTTTAATCCTCTTTAAGATGATTTAGGTTAAAAATCATTTTTATTGTTACCACCTTAAAGATAATTAAAAATCGTTTAAAATGAGCCCAAACTCGGCTAATTTATCTCAAAGAATAACGAAGATATCTCGGTTTAATTAAAAAAAAAAATTGAAAATCGATTCAAAATGGCCGAAATTTTTATTATTAATCAGGTTATCTTGGTTGTTTTTTAAGATAATTATATCGTGTTTGGGTTCATTTTAAAGCATTTTGAATCCTCTTTAATATGATTTAGGTTAAAAACCATTTTTATTATTATCATCTTAAAAATAATTAAAAATCGAATAAAATGAACCCAAACTCGGCTAATTTATCTCAATAAATAACGAAGATATCGCGGTTTTATTAAAAAAAAAATTGAAAATCGATTCAAAATGGCCGATTTTTTTATTATTAATCAGGTTATCTCGGTTGTTTTTAAACATAACTATATCGTGTTTGGGGTCATTTTAAATGATTTTTAACCCTCTTTATGATGATTCATGTTAAAAATAATTTTTATTATTACCATCTTAAAGATAATTAAAAATCGATTAAAATGAGCCCAAACTCGGCTAATTTATCTCAAAAAATAACGAAGATATCGCGATTAATTTAAAAAAAAAATTGAAAATCGATTCAAAATGGCCGATTTTTTTTATTATTAATCAGGTTATCTTGGTTGTTTTTTAAGATAATTATATCGTGTTTGGGTTCATTTTAAAGCATTTTTAATCCTCTTTAAGATGATTTAGGTTAAAAATCATTTTTATTATTACCATATTAAAGATAATTAAAAATCGATTAAAATGAATCCAAACTCGGCTAATTTATCTCAAAAAATAAGCGATATCACGATTTTATTAAAAAAAAAAAATTGAAAATCGATTCAAAATGGCCGATTTTTTATTATTAATCAGGTTATCTTGGTTGTTTTTTAAGATAATTGTATCGTGTTTGGGTTCATTTTAAAGCATTTTTAATCCTCTTTAAGATGATTTAGGTTAAAAATCATTTTTATTGTTACCATCTTAAAGATAATTAAAAATAGATTAAAATGAGCCCAAACTCGGCTAATTTATCTCAAAAAATAACGAAGATATCGCGATTTTATTAAAAAAAAATTGAAAATCGATTCAAAATGGCCGACTTTTTTATTATTAATCAGGTTATCTCCGTTGTTTTTTAAGATAATTATATCGTGTTTGGGGTCATTTTAAATGATTTTTAATCCTCTTTCAGATGATTTAGATTAAAACCCCCTGTATATAAATCTTGGGTTAACATTGCTTGTATCATTTGATATTGATTAAAAAAAATCGTCGATTTTTAAGCAACATGATCATTCTTGAATTTTTCCTAAAAAAGCAGTGACCATGTTAGCGAATTCTCTCAACATAAATCTTACCCATTATTTGCTATCTTTCTCTAAGCTAGATTTAATAAATTAATTAATTTTAATAAAAGCATAGAAACGTTAATAACTTTTTAATTACAATAAAGGTAAGAAAATTTACCCGCAAATTAGCCAAATCCTCCAATTTCGAAATATCGCTCAATTCGATGTAAAACGAATAAACCAACAACCATCCATAAACGGATAACAAAAAGAAAGTGATCCATAGAATGACCATAAAAATGTTGTAGGCGAATATTAAGTCGTTTACAAACGCAAAGAATAAAAAGGCCAAAAATCGGAGAATTGTAAAGCTTAAAAACGCCACTAACCAAGGAACCATTCGTTTTTCATATTCCTAAAAAAAAAATAACCTCAAATTTTATAAAACAACAAAAATTTGGGATAAAAACCTGTCTTAAAGCAACAATTAACATAATGCTGGTTATAAAAACTGCAATTCCAAATAAAACGGAAAAAACGGCAAACATATTCAATGCATTTCTCACTAAAAATGAATCAAATTAATTTTTGACACTCAACATAACCTCAATCTCACCATGTCTATTTCCAACATAAACGAATTCGTACGAAATCAAGTAATAACCATAATGTGTTGATCCAGGGGCTGCCATCGCATAACAATAAATATCGAATATCCCAGTAACGATCGTAAAAATCGATAAAAGCTAAAAAATTCAAAAAAAATTTTTTAGGTTATGTTAACCCATTTCGATATTTTCAACAATTTATTAAACTTACCAGCGAAAAAACCGCTGTAACCATACAGCTACGCTGCACATCTAAGAAAATCGATTTTTCTATGATCGGTTTATGATACCAAGGCACTTTTAGCGATTTTATGCTGCGACTGCTTCGTAAATTTGCGCTACTTCTTGTGGTGACGTGCGAATAAACGCTCGGAGTTCCGTGGCTTGGCGATTTCATTCCGTAACTCATTTTTGATTAAATCTTTATAAAATAAAAAAATTAAAGTTATTAAGAAGTTATTAAAACGATGATTCAGGTTTTGGGTGTAAACAACGAAGGTGTGGTTATAAATTGAAACGTCAACTGTCAAAATTTTAATGATTGAATATTTAATTAATTTGTTTTTAAATAATTAATTTTCGAATGATTTTTGATTTATTTTGGTGCCTTTTTAATGATAAAATAAAGATTT